TGATGAAGGGGAGAGCGGGAGTGAAGGCGTGCACCCTCTCGTCCTTTCCATTTGTCAAGCTGTCTGCGTCGTCCACCCCTGGGTTTCCCCTTGTGGTTGGACAGATGGACATAACGAACGGATGGACGGGCAGGGACGCCCTTCCCTCGGCTGTGAACCCAGACTAACACGAGCCAGACTTGATTCATTCCTGACTTTTCATCTTTTTATGTTCACCAAGGGATTCATGATATAAAAAAAATAAATAAAATGTTTTCTCCTTCTTTTGAAATGTTTATTTGCAGCTTAGAAGTTGCGCTTTGGATTCTCATTTCTTGCTCTTGTCTGCTGGCACACAGCCAGTCCTTCAAGTCAGCGTTATCGGCTTGTCTGACATCTGACCCAGTGTCTCTCGACCCACCTTTCTGTCTGTCTCATTTCAGGAAGTTTCACCACACTCACGATGAATCAAAAGCCTTTGAGTCAAAGAGCTGCTCATCAGACAACTCAAACTTCACTTCCTTTATTCACTCCCTTTCTCTTTACCTTTTGTCACTTGTTGAATTGGCAAACATAATATATCAAATATATATTTTATTTTCGTAAATGCAACAGTGGCCGTGCTTTTGTGGGACGAGCTCGATGTGAAAATTGGGGGAACAAAACTTGCCAGTTTAAAATTGGACAAAAGGCTGCTTCATTTGTGACCCTGAAGGCATTTGATGACGAACAATACATTGGAACCATGTGGGTTTTGAAAGCCGAATCTTTACAGATATAACAGAGAGTGGTGATCTACTGTTGGGGGGCGCACATAGGAGCAAAGAATCGTTCTATCTCAATCTCTCTCTCCGTCTGAGCCACAGGCTTAAGCGGTCAAGTGAGTGGATTTATAGACCTGAGGCTTATGGCTCAGACACGATTGCTTGAATTGGCTTCGTCTCAATTAAAATAAATGGTTTTAACTCCTAATGAGGGAATGGTACAAGAGGGCAAGAGTGAGACAGTGGCTCCCTGCCTTATCGATTAAAAAAAGCAAAGAAACATAACTTTTTATCAAGCTGACGGAAGAAAACTAAACAAAGAAAAAATCCAGTTTCTAGATGCAAATAAAAATTGTCATGGGGTGCATCAAGGAAGCCTTAAATTATATGTTTGAGTGGTTTTTAATGCATGTTGTATGTTTTGCAACAGCCACTAAGTGTGATAGTTCAAACTCAAGACTGCTCTAAATATAAAGGGTTGACAAAAAAAAGGACACCTCTTCTTTTCCATTTCACCCCCAATTTCTCTAAAAAGCTTTTGCACTTGTGTCATCTCTCCTCCTCCTTCTTTTTCTTTTTTTTCCGAGTTCAGCTGTAAAACATTTGAGGAAACTTTATGCTTCCCCATTCAGCCCAAGAGTGTAACTGGAGGTTATCCGACGACGATAAAAAAGAAAGGGAAAGGAAAAATGGTTGAGGGCAGGATGAGGTCCTCGTCTTTGTGTCTTCATAGCTCGGGCCGCCGGCCAGGCACACTCTCATGCAAAACCTCATGCATAAAAGTTGTTCCCCCCCCCCCACCCCCCCCTTTTTTTTTCTTTAAGGCAGAACAGTGAAGCTCCATGAAAATAAATTACACCTGAAAAAGTGATTTCTGTAGTGTATTCAGGAGAGCATAGTATCCACAAAAAGTACTTTGACCCATGCATAAAAACAAAGTTTTTACACTTCGACTTTGCCCGGTCTTTTTTACTGCCAGACCCCTAGTTAATGTTCCATGTGAAGTTGGGGTAAGCTCATGTGAGAAAGCAACAGGAAATATTCAGGAAAGATGGAAGATGATGAAATGGTTATCCTGTGATCAACTGACCATAGACTGTATGCGTGTCTGGGGCCTTTTTTCAGGAGCGTAAGGAAACTGCTTGATTATGTTTTCTGTTCTCTGCTCCAAGTATATACAGTAAGTGCTACATGTAGCTCCACAGATTCCCTGTGTTGATACAGTGAATATGTTGAGCTACATGTAGCACTTGCATATAAAGGCATGAATTATCATCATAGCCTTTGACTGTGTTGCCTCACCTGCGACTTCCGCGTTACTGTTTTGACTATCATAGACTTTTTCAGGAGTGCATGTGTGAATATGGCTAACGTTTTAATTTCCTAAGTGCTCTTCTAAGCTTTGTTACTGAGACATAGATGAGAAGTTTTCTACCTTCATATACTGTATGTAATGTATGTTATGTATATGTCAGAAAGGTGAAAATAAGAGAACAGCTAGCATGGCGAAGTCCAAGTTACCAGCGACCTCCAGGGCCACACGCAAACCGAGGCAGATGAAAAATTGCCCAAAAATGCAGTTCCTACAGCAACATGAGGCTGGCTCTAAAAAAAAAAACAGTCAACACCAACGAAGCCCAGTATTCAAAAACCTGCAAAAATAAAAAAGGTACAGTCTGGATTTACCTTTATCAGAAAACTACACAACCATGGTTTTTTTTAAACACCAGTTTCATTTAAAGTGCTGCTTGAAATAATCCGTCAGAACATGATCGTCATTGACCGGTTAGCGCTGCTAGCTGACTTTTGTGCTTCAATTTGCTATGAGTGATTGAATTTGACATATTGGCTGTATTTGTAGTGTGTATTTGTCATATCAATATTGGTGTCTTGTTGTAGGGTTGAGTGTACTTTTTCACCGTCCAAGAAGTCTGAGTTCCCAAAGTTTCAGTGAGCAAAACATCATTTTAAACGTTAGCATATATTAGCATATCTTTTTTCTAAATACCTGGTCAGTTAGTTAAGTATTTATAAGGCTAGCTAAGAAATGGCTTTGTTCAAAACAGACTTAAACTATCATTTTGATATAGCTGCTTTTTTTTTTATTCCTCTTACAAAAACTGAGATTTCCGCTCATCTACATAATGTTTACTTCCAGCTACAGCCAAACCAACATGGCTTCTGTGAAAATGCAAAATTAAAGGCGTTTTAACAGCATTTCATGTGAAAATAGGTGACTTATGGTGGAATATGCATTTTTTTAATTTAGTCTGTGATCCAAAAGAAACAACATATACTGTACAGGCACGCCGCTAAAGGCTCTCTCTAAAAAAAAATGTGTTTTATTTTTTTGTATCCATTAAAAACTGAAGTGCCAGCAAAGATTAAAAAAAGAAAAAAGAAAAAAAAAAAGTCAAACACTTTAACCAGTCATGTTCAAAATATTGACTGCATTTTAACATTGTGATTTGTATTTGACAGTTTTGTCTTTTCACTCAGGCCACAGCCTCTTTTTCCCATATGAAACGGCTGCAGGCTGATCACACACACAGCATCTAACAAATGAGAGCTTTGACTCTCATTGACTCGCAACAAGTGTGGTCTCAGAAGCCTTCACTTTTGCTTTGAAGTTGGAAAAACTCCCACTCGAAGTCACTTGAAAGGTGAACAAAGATGCCAAACATATTGAAATGAAGGCTGCAGAGGCAACAACACACAGACCTACATGAAGGTTTGTGGCTTTCTGACCCCTCCCAGATAAACAAGTATGACCTGACTCGTTTGCAGAGGTGCTGGTAAAGCACGCAGAAACCTTTGAAAATGCTCTGTGGCTAGGGGAGAAACTGAGGCAGACACAAACAGAAGGGCTTATAAATCCCATGCTACATTTCCAGGCATGATCATTCTAAATAATAGCCTCCCTTGTGCTTAGACTGAGGTCTGGGCTGTGTGGAGGGTGGTCATGGGGCTCCCCAATGTGATGGCGGCGCACTAATCTGCCCTGTATGGCCCATTCACATGTGTTCACACCATTGTTTCCACATTCTAAACAGGAACTGCTATGTTACCCAGAGGAATTATAAATTTGGTGTGCAGAAACCCTCCATTAATTCCTGCTCTTGTTTAAAGTCGGCGTGTCCTTGCAGTTTTATCACTTCTTGTGCTTGTTGACGAGAGGGGAGACCACGCAGTTACAACACTTTAGAATTCAGAGACTATTTAGACACTAGTCCAAGTACATTTGAAAATACTGAACTTGTCTATTTTTCATTGAGATGTTTAAGTTTCACAAATTGTGAAAAAAAAAAAAAAGTTATGGAAAAAGACTGACGTTGCAGTTAACATTGGGTTAAGGTCATTGTTATGCTGATAAGGATGTTTGTACATTTAAAAAAAGCTTCACTACTTAACCTGAGTATTCGTCAACATGGATAGTATTGTAAACATATATTCTGAGGAATAATCTTAAAGAATAATCCAATAATATAGTATTATTTAAGCATAATACATATTGTATGTGTAGGCCTAACATGTTTCCTTTTTAAGTTTTGTTTTTAATTCACATTAAATGTAGGCCTTGTTTTTATTTGATTGTATTTTATTGGTCGGATGCCTCTATATCTACTTGTGAAATAGAAAAAAAGGGACAATTTGCAATTTGATACACCTTTATTTTACATCAGTGGTACATACAATACAATAAATCACATCGGCCATTACATAAGAGTTGTGTTAAGCTAACTTAGAATTTAACAAAACATAAAATGTTATGCACCTCAATTAAAATTAAAGAGACAAATAAGAATTTAACAAAAAGATGGATCCAAAGTGAATCATTTATGTTTGATTTAAATGAAATGTTGTACATGAACAAATACAGCTAATCAAAAAAAACGTTTATACCTAACTATAAAGAAGAGGCATTTGGGACAGGGTTTGCATGAAAAAACAACTTATCTAAGCCTGGGAAAAACGTCCCTTTCTCTCTCCAAACCAATCGGTGCTGTAATTTATTACCCGGTAAACACGTGGGAATAGTATTTCAGCACCACAAGATAAACAACTACTCCGCTCCTAGCAAGTCTCGCGATAGGGGACGCTCCCTGTGTGCTCGCCTATTGTGAGAGTTTTCCACCTCTCGCGCGATGTTGGAAGTTTCCCACGCCTGTTGTTGTGGCGTCTGCCCTTTTCGCTCACTCTCTCCCTCTCTTGCTGCCGCTAACCCGCCGCCTCCCCCTTTTTTTTTTTTTTTTTTTTCTCTCTCTCTCCGTCTTCCTCACCCACCCCCTTTCTCTCCGTCTCCCTCGTCCCTACACCTCCAGTCTGCTTCTGTTGTCTCGGCGGATTGTTGGTCGCTTGTGGGAGAGAAAGGATATCGCGAGTATTGGAGTTTTGGTGAGAGTTTGTTGAAGATGGCGCCTGTTGTGACAGGGTGAGTCTGAGATTCGGGGCTGGTGGTGGGGAGCAGAGTTGGAAGAGAATACAAGTTATTGACATGAAACTGCTTGATTTGAGTGTGTGTGATAAACGCGTAGTGATGCGGCAGTGTTTTGACCTCGGGTCCGGACGCTACAACTCATTTCTTTGTCTCAGTGTGTTTGCGTGTGAGTGTTTTTTCTTTGAGCAGTGAGCGATACTTGGGGCTGACTGTTGCTGCAGTGTTGTGTGAGCTAGCCCCCTGCTAACACATACTTCACCCTCGGTGGTCTTCTCCCTCCCCCGCCCCCCCTCAGACAACGGAGAGCTATCAGCTAGCCACACAGCGAGCCACTGAAGCATGGATTTTAAAACAATTTAGCCTCAGTGAAAAAGTGCATTTTCTCTCTTTGCCTGGTAGAAGGTGAAAGCAGATTGTTGTATTCCTGCTGCTGCATTTGTTTTGTAAACGCGCTCACCTCTTAGCCGGGCAGCACGCTTCACATCGGGTTAACACAGCTAGCTGTCCGATAATGGACGCAAGCTAGCGATATGTAACAGAAACACGTTGCGGCTTTGTGAGCAAGGCATCCCTCCTGGCTGTGTTTAAAAAAAAAAAATGTTGACTTTATTTACTGATTTATTTATTGAAGCTTGTATGTAGCACATGCACGTTAAAGCGTGTGCACATCCGACTTCAGACAGTGCAACGATACACAGTTTACTTCTCACTGCTGCAGCACTGTGACTCTGATCGTCCACTGCTCATCTTTATATCTGCGATACACACACACACACACACACACACACACACTCACACTCACAGCCATGTGAACTTAACACTCTCATGACTGAATCATGAGAATCACGTCTCCCAGGTCCAGTCTGAAGAATATGAAAGTCACCACATATGCACTGAGAGCTTGGATTTATTCTCCCAGATGAGCTCTACATTCAGATAATAACCAGCTATTGTCACACAGTCTGAAAATACACTTCCCTCTAAATCTAAATTAAAAGTTGTTTTTTTTATCTGTAAAGATGGTTTGCATTTTCCAACTTTCAAAGACCCAATTAGGCTTAGTGGCCGTTCTGTAATTGCTACTAGATCATACATCAGTGATAAAGTGTTTCAGCAGAAGCTTTTATGGGAAAATGGTCTTTGTTAACATTTTCTAACTGCCCATTGAATTTGACAGAAAATGTCAAGGACATTTTTTTTTTTTTTTACCGAGTAAAGTGCTTTGCATCATCAGTGAAGTGACCATGTTAGTCAACATAAATGCACTGTAGTGTGAAACCCGAGGCATTAAAGGAAGCGTTTGTCTCACTGCATCGGTTGATCTCGTTTGAAATGATTTGCCTGCACACCAGCGAGACACAGATCTGTTTTTTTTTTTTTTTTTTTTAAACTCTTGAGGCTGTAATCCCCGCAGACAGCTCAGTGGGTGACAGACATTTGCTGGGCTTGTTGGAGGTGTGTGTATGTTGGTAGGAAAAGGGGGGTGGGGATAGATGTGCATGTTCATTTGGGGCTTTCCAGCAGACCTGAACTGATTTCAGTTGGGGTGGGGAGGGGGTTGATGAAGGGAAGGAGGGAGCAAGCTAGAGGGCAGGCGGGTCAGGTCTGGGTGGCTGGCCACCTGTCCAGATGATATCTCCAAATTCATGTTGTTGTTTTTTTGCTGCGGGTGGAGGTTGGGGGGAGGGGGGGGGAATTAAAGTGCCATAAGGGGTCTTTTTTGCCAGAGGCAGGCTGTGTTCGCAGTAACGGTTGGAGGCATCACTGATCCTGACCACAGCCTCCATGTACTCTTTGAATGGCTTTAAACAGGGAGGGGCTCCACAACCAGGGGCTTGTTAGTGGTATCATGACTCTCTGGCAGAAGTATTACAGAGAGGCTGCGTTTCTTTCTGCCTTTTGAATCTTAAGTTGAAGCTTCAAATTCACTTCACAGTCAATTAAGTCGCAAGTTTATACTTTCTAGAGCTCGTCTTGTCTCCGTGTTTCAGTTTAATGCGTCTGAATGCCATTCTTATTGTGGCAATAATTTCTCTTTGTGCACAATTGCTATTGCGAGTTAATAAATTGTTAAACACCAAACTTTTGTAGAGAACTGTATTTAACTGCCTAGAGACCATTTGTCATTTGATTTGATGTCAAAAGTTTCAAAGGGCAGGTGGTCTGCAGGTTAGGTGACAAGAAGAGACTGCTATGATACCCAATCTAAAAAAAAAAGTACTGTCTTTATCAAGTATCAAAAGTTGTGTGTGGGTGGGAGGTGTTACTTTTTTTCACTAGCTGATGATAAATGTCAATATCAGGTTATTTTAGTCTGAGGACAAATGCCCTCTTTACTCCGTTTCATTTCTCACACACACACACACACACACACACACACACACACACACACACACACACACACACACACACACACACACACACCTGCTCCTCTCCTTCCTTTCTTACACACAGCGGATCGTTTTGTCTTACCTCATTCTGTGGCTTTGTTTATTGTGTGTTTTTGACAATATTCGCCAGCAAGTACGTTAAGAGACGCTCAAGTTGAGCACATTACTCCCTTTTCGAAAGCGCTTGACTCGATATTCTATGAATCACGTCAGGAGGTCGTTGCTCATTGAAGATGAGTTGTGTGCCGCGCATCACAACAATAACCGCAGCGGCAGGAAAATATGAAAACAACATTGTAAGAAGCTACAGTCTTAAAATGTGACGTTCTGGCACCACAATCAAAGGATGGACTTCTCACTCTGTTTTTTTCTTACTCTCTCACTCTCATGGGTGTTTGTCTCGCTCGTCTGCGGTGATTTGATGCATAGACTTAAAGAGTTTGGAAATATACTTGGATGGTCATAAATACTGCCAGGTAACTAATTACTATTAGTGTCTACTTCCTTAAAGTGAATTCTATGCGTCATGCTTGACAATACAAACACAGGGTAATTATCCATAACCCTTTTGATCATGGTAACAGTTTCGCACAAAGTATGTATGGTGTCCAGCCAGTCCAGGAATAGAAAAACGTTAATTTCAGTTCCCAAGACCCCAACGTGGCGTCCTCAAACACAAAATTCTCACATATGATAAGCCCTAACATTTGACATTTTGCTTGAAAAATGCCTTAAATTATGAATTAACCCTCTAGAACAGTTGGCAAACGTGTTGATTCCATTGACTCGGCTTCTGCTGATCGTAATAACCTTTAAATATCATCATCATGTCATCATTTTGCTTATTTAAAAAAATGGTGTTTTCTTATCATAAAACAGATTCCTTATGTTCCCAGTAATGTCAGCACTGTTCATTTCCCTTAGAGGTGTCCTTGTTGGGTTGTAACTCTTATTGTGTTGTTGCATCTCGTTCTTTAGGGTTGTCCTCTTTATTGTCGTCGTCGTTGTTGTTTTTTTGTAGGGATGTTAAGATTAACCGTGAGGCATTTCAAAATCGATTCAACGGAGTCAAGGTTCACATCGGTAATCTGAAAAAGGAATCGTAACAACAAGGTGAGCGTCAGCAGCTGTAGAGCAAGATTTTGAAACTGAGGACGCACCGCCGTCTTTTAAATCGGAGCTGTGGAAGCGTTTTGACTTCCCCAAGACCGAAAATGAAAGAGGTGAGAAGATAACAGACGAGACAAAAACTGCGAATAAGAAGACAGGGAACTACACAAATGGCACAACCTACGTGATGCAGCATCACAACGAGACGCTCCAATCACCTCCCTTTGTTGTGAGGAAAAAAAAACCCATTAAAAGGCCAAACCACACTGACAAGTGGGTCTGCAGCCCTGCTCGCCCAAACGAGTCCAAGAGCCAAAGAGATTACGAGATGTCTCATTTTGTCAGATAAATCGTGTGAGAATCGTATAGTGAGTTGAGATAATCCTTACACCCCTAGTTTTCTTGTGTTTTGTTTTTTTCTGCTTGCTTTGTCTCGAGTGTGTTATGTATTGTCTTTTTGTATGGCTGTGTTGGTCTAGGAGATCATCCTGATATAATAGATTTTACAACTGTAGTTTTAAATTAAATGCAATAACCAATAATGTTTCCAGAGCGGGTCAGTCAGCACTCAAAATACCGCAGAAGAGTGCTCTTGAGTGTTTCTAAATCCTGTTCTTGCCCAACACACAAAGAAAACACGGGCGAATCCGAGAATCTTCTTCAAAAGAGGCCCATTGTTTGCAGTAGTAAACACATTTTCTGGTACAGCGTGGTCTTCCTCAGGTTAGTTGTAGTGTGGCACAATAACAGCAACTATCAGAACCCCCTGAATCTCCACCCTTCATGTCGGCTAGTTATGCGTTTTTGTAATTTTTTTTTTTTTTCCTCCTCTGTGCCAGAAAAAACTGATGAACCCATTGCTGAAAGAGCAGCACTGTTCACCTGGGATGATAAAAGCATGAATCACTTATTTCAACACCGCTCTGGCTTTGCCGTGCCCCTGGGGGATGGGATTCCATTTGGCTCTCCCCCTCCATCCCTCTGCCAAAAAAAAAAAAAAAAAAAAAAAGGGGGGGGGGGGGGGAATTGAGTCTTTTAGGCCAAAAGCCGAACGTCTATGTGCCGGTGTAATGATACCAGCAAGCTTTTTTCATTGCAAATGTTGTGTTCTTGCATTTGTCAGCGCTGGCGTGTGGTTTTAACTCGTCGGCTGTGTGGAAGGTGATCAAGCCTGTGTGTGTGTGTGTGTGTGTGTGTGTGGAATTTACCTAGACATAAAAGTTGATCTGTGTGTTTAAATGTGTGTGTGTGTGTGTGTGTGTGTGTGTGTGTGTGCGCACGTGCATCCACTCCCCAGGGTCCTCTCCTCTTCCCCGCTTCCTCTTATGAAAGGAGAGGTTCAGAGGGAGCAGCAGATGTCGAAGCGCTGACCTTTATGGTGGCAAAGGCTGGGTTGGAGTTAAAAGACATGCCGAGTTACCCCCCCCCCCCCCCCTCCCCTCCCCTCCCCTCCCCTCCCCTCCCTCCCCTCCCCTCCCCTCCCCCTTGGCCCTC